GGGGGGGGGGGGGGGGGGGGGGGGGGGGGTCGGGCCCCTCCGTCGAATGGAACTCCAGAGAATCGGTTTGTTTTGTGGATTAGGCTCGTGTTTTAGTCGCGGGCCGCGACGAATCGTGAAACGCGGTCCGGCGCACGTCGTCGCTTTTTCTCCTCGGCGACGAGAGGAGTGCCGTAAAGGGCTGCGGTCGAAATTGCCTCCATAAATGTTCAGCATAATCGAATTTGCGAGACAATCGACTCGCCGATCCAGAAATTAATCAAGCAGTTGTTTGCGATTTTACAGCATCCCTGGAGGGGGGAGGGACGTGTCACGCTGTCGATCAGTACAAGTTGGAGTGCGGGGACATTGATTGAGACATGAAAACTTGTGTTTTTACAGCGTTAAGGATTTATTATAAGAATAAATAATTAGTATATATATATATATTATCTGCGGGAGACTCTTACATAAGGTCTTAATGAAGACGTTTTAGTAACTTATATCGATGAATGCCTATCGTAGCAAGTAGTGGCTCTACTTATGACATGTCACTCGCACTGCATCTAATTGTCGACATCGCGCGATCCTTCCTACATATTTCTCCGATTCTCCCGGCGCGTGCCTCTCTCCCTCGGACCGATTTACTTTCCAAGCTTGTCCTCGATGATGACGTCAACTCATATTACAAGATCCTCGTTGTAACGAGATAAGGTTGAAGAAACCCAGGAATTCGTAACAAAATTCGTCGTTAATTAAGTCAGTTTGAGTACTTTCATGTTAAGTTAAAGTTTCTTGAGTATGACGAGCAGGTACGTTTTTTTAAGACATGCCGTTACATTATTGACTTTTATTAAAAGTACGTATATAAGTATACACATGCGCTAAGTATACAAAATTACAATAGTATTACATGGAAAAGATTGCGGAGGACAGAAAGAAAGAGAGAAAGAGAGAGAGAGAGAGTATTTACAACAGGATAATGTTTCTATATTTATATATATATCTATGTATATATATATGTATATATAGGGTATGTATAAAGGAAAGGAAAGGGTTCATTTGGACAAAGTGAGGAGAACAAGGTTAGTAACGTAGCTTTAGAGGTATACGAGCATCGTCGTTTTCGTCGTCTCTTAAGTCGGCAGAACTTAATTTATCCCGCGCGGGCGGAACGATCTTTTGGTTGAACGTAGACTCACGAAAGAATCTTGACGCATGTACACACCTGCCCCTCGTTGCGCTTCTGCTTACGCTACCTAACTGAGCTAACCGTAAATACATACACCGTGCGCGTCCCGCTCGCTTAACCGCTCGCTTAACGCGTCTCGTTTGCCCTTTCTTTGAGTCTGACAAACAGCAACGTTGCTCCGGCTTCGTCCCAGTTCCTACGAATGGACCGGAAAGAGAGCGAGATTCTCTCTCAAAGGAATGCAGCTTGTCGGAACGCGCGATTTCTTCATCTTTTCCGTTCTCCTGGTTACTTAATTCATTTATTATTAATAAGTCTGTTGATTTCCAAGTCGAACCGTTGAGGCAAATTTTCGTCACTGTTATTTTTTACGAAATCTGATATTTTCAGGAATTCGAAACACGTAATTAGACGATATTTTTTTGTGAAAGGGTTAGAGTGAACGGGAATATTCAACACTAGCGTGCCATAAGCGATCCATATTCGGCAAACGCTGAAACGACACTCCCTGTCGATCTCGATTGCGAGTCAGATCGCTCCGTGAAAAATGGAGCCTCGCAACGAAGCCGGGCAACATGACGTGACTCGTCGGCGAATAGACTAAATAAACAAACAATAACAACAATAATAAAAAATATTCTCTTCTTGCGACCGATGCGAGCACCGAGCTTCCTCGTCGTGCTGCTCGCGCGACAACTTGACGCCATTCACAATTTATGACACTGTTGCACCACGCGTGCAAGCGCATGGTAAAGTTGCGACGATCGTAATATCGTACAGGAAGACGAGAAAGAGCTTCTCTCTCTTCGAGGAGCCTTCCCTATTTCATTGGTTGTATTTTGGCACGGAGTTGAGTCACGCGCGCTTATCCTTCGCCCCGAAACGAAGTTACGCGCAGGATATTATTAATCTGTGAGGCGACAGTTTTGAATTTCGGAGAGTTCCACGAATGAGAAGAGGAGCGTCGGTGAGATTAACGATTCCCGGCACCAAGCGACGCGAAATTATTGCTCATCAATAATTGTACGACAAAGTTTCGTGACAGTGCCGAAGAAGTAAAAGCGAAAAAAGCATGGCGCGACCACGTTCAATAAATAAGCATAGACGACGCGAATGTCAGTCTTTCGTTCCTTTTTTGTCGTATAATTGCAAATTTCGACGGGTAATAATTTAGAAGTCCACGGAGGATACCGTCCAGCGGCTCCGTCCGTGATTAATCTTCTCATACGTCGTGACTCGTTCTCGTTTGAGCGTCTAGAGCGAATCGAAGTTGGATTCCCGATCGCTGGTCTGCAACAAATATTAATCAATAACAATCCCAACCTTGCAGTCGCGCCTTACAACTCAATCAATATCTAAAAAAATATTTGGTCTACTTTCTTGAAATTTCTTGAAGTAAAACTTCACTCGAAAAATATATATAGAATTATCATTGACTCACTCGAAATCGAGTGATTTTTTACTCATACAGAGTAGAATTCTTGATTTTGAATCGTTGAGTGAATATCTTCACTCAAAATTGAAGTAAATATTGCCACTCTACACTAGTTTTGAGTGAGATTCTACTCCAAGAGTTTCAGTTAGCTCTATAAGTCGCTCTAAGAAATTTAGAGAGTACTTTCTTGGAATGAAATTTTAATCGAGAAAAATAAAATTACCACACATCGACTCGAGTTCGAGTGATTTTTCACTCATATAGAGTCGAATTCCTGATTCCGAAACGTCGAATGAATAATTTCACTCGAATTAAAGAGTGAATCTGATTAGATTCCTAGATAAATAGAGAAGTGACATTGAGGGAAATTGTCTAATTGGCTAATTGATTCATGTAATTCAATGCTATATTGTTTTTTATCCTGGTGAACGAGTAAAAGTTAATGATACAGTAGATTATTAGACTCGTAGTTAACATTACAGAAGAATATTTGCTGCAGCTTGGTATAATCAAATGTAAACCTAAGTGATATATATAAGCAAGTAGCTATTAACCTTTGTTGCTGGCATTTTTTTACTAAAAAAGTGGTTTTATTTTCTCAAAAATTTGTCTATACAAGTAATATACACATGGTGTAGAATTTCGAGATTTGTACAGAGTCACAAAAACGGCTTTCCCGGCAATCTAAAGGTTAATTATGATAAGTATTTTTATTTATTATGACATAATTATTTTCATTTATATTAATTATGCCGTAAATACTTTTATTTATGTAAATTTTTATTCTGTTCTAACCTGCCTAGACTTTTGTCGGTTATATATTTTCTTTCAATAGAGCCAAGAACTAAATCCCACTGGCTAGATTTATCGAATAGCGAGAAATAAGACGACGGCTTTTCGATATATCGCACCTATTTTCAATGTCGCTTCTTTATTTATTTAGCACTCTAATGGCTTTATGCAGACTATAACTGTTAACTTATGCTGTAATCCGTAAGAAATTGATTAACAGTCGAATTATGCAAGAATAATTGACTGTGGCTGGTCAATTTCTTACGAATTACGGTATAAGTTAACAGTTATGGCTTGCGTAAACAAGTCATAAATCTGATGTGCTTCACCATTATAGAAACACATTGACTTTAATCGATGTCGGCTGAAACATTCGCTCGAATAAAGTTAAAATCCACTTTAAGCTTGAATGAAACAATCACTCTTGTGATTCCGATTGGCAGCAATAGCTTTGCTATAACTATAGCTTTTACTATAGTTTTGAGTGGAAATATTATCACATTACACTAGTTTTGAGTGAAATTCCACTCTTAGAGTTTAGAGAGCAAGTTTTCTTACCCTGTCCGGACTATACAGTGGCGGATGTTGCGCCGGAAGTCTCAATGTGCTGCCTAAATCCCGCTCGGCCATGGTGTGGCCTTCGCTGGCACTATCCCTGGTGTCTCTATTGTCTCTGGTATCTTTGACACTGTTTCTGCGCGCGGCGGCGACTTTCGTTGGTGGCTGAATCGTCGTTTCGCCGCAGGATCTCGCCAAAGTTGAACCAGCCTCACCCAAATCCAGTCTCAGCAGTTTCGTCGGAGCTTGAATGGTCGTTTCGCCGCACGATCGAGCCAAAGTCGAGTCGAAGTCGACTTGAAGATCTCCACCTCTCAGTACCTTCGTCGCTGCTTCCACAGTCGTCTCTCCGCAGGATCGCGCTAAAGTGGACTCCGCGTCTACTGTACGGGTTACTGTCGCCGACACCTGCCGATAATGATAGTTTCCTATCAGATTAGTCTCATTGATCAATATCAAAACTTCAAGATTCATTCGAATCTGATCCAATTATTCGCAGAGAATAAGTGGCATGCTTTCAATTATCTGGGAGGATTCAAATTTTCCAAAATACCAAACAGTTGAAACATCAATTTTGGATCTAAGTTTCGTAACAGGATTTGAAATTTTAACAATCCTTCGAGTATTTAACGATCATTAAATCGATATTTTCTCATTGCAGTTTAACGACTTAACCTAAGGCGATTGTTTTATTTATTTGATTTATTTTAAACAATTTTGTTATTAAATTGATAAGTTTTTATCTGTTTTTTTTTTAATTTAAATCCAAATTTGGGTCCGAATTCGGTTTTAATCTCAGTTAATCTCAGTTCTGAATTTGAATCTCTTCTTAAGGGGAGAACTTCATGTAACTGGTCAAAAAAATCGATTTTTTTTTACTTCAATCGAATCCTTGTTATGTGGAGAATATAATCCTAAAGTTTTAGAACCCATTTCGAAGTATTAATGGTACTACGGACACTTACATCTGCGCCGCGCGCAACTATAAGAGTCGCCCGGCGCGTCTTGGCCGGACCCCTCCCGTTTCTCGACTTAATCCCTCTTGCACAATAGACTTTAACGTTTCTCAGTGGCCGAGAGGTACTTGGGAGGGCATACATAGAATGCTAATGAGAGTCTGAATGCAATGATCTGGCAACTAGCTCCCAAACACTTACATGCTGGCACTTAAATAATAGAAATAGCTGCTTATATTGCTGCTAGCATATTTAATGAAGGCTATTCTGCAATGCTAAAAATGATGGATGTTTTAAAACTTAAAATTGGCCAGCAATGTGCAAAATTTACGTCGATTTATAGGACAGTAAGCGATTGAACAGACAGGAGCGCCAAGCTCGTAACAGCAAAAAAGAGACTCGAATAGCTCATAAACAGAAAAAAATTGTAAAAAACCAATTTTTCGAAGAAACGGAGGGCTATTGTATGGAGGTGGAATTGCAGAATAGTCGAAAAGAACCGTGAGTTTTCAAAAACTGTTATTTATTTGCTTTGTCAACTTTAGAATCTTTTCAGAATTACTTTTTGCAACTTGCGTATATTTTTTGCGTACATCATAGCTCAAAAACTATTCAACCAATTGCGTTGTGCTTATCCGTGCATGTACATTATTACTTTTGTAATAGAATGAACCTAAATGTTATTAATATTTATTTATTTAAACAACATTTCTCAAACAATTAAAATGAAAATTTTCCGTAAAATTCGAACCTTTTCTTTCGAAGTCGTTTATTTTCACTAAATTTCCATTTTTTTTTAAATAAATTTAGATTCATTTCATGTGGTTTTTATAAAAAAAAAAATCTTATAGGATTTTTGTTGTAAAATTAAAATTGAGACCGCTAGAGTGTACGCAAGTTTACCTTGGCAAAAATGAGGTCTCCGACATCGACCTTCATTAACCATCAAAATATCCATTACTATTGCTCAAACCAAAAATTTTCTAGTTCTTTAAGTGTGCATTTAAATATACTAAAAGTTTCAAAAAGATTCATCGAATAGCTTTTTTGTTTTTAATTCCTAAAGACTGCCTATTTTTCGGTTCATTTACATGGAGTTCTCCCCTTAATTTGCCTGAATTTGTATCCGAATAATTCGGTTTTGAGTTCTTGGATCGGAACCGATTTGGAATATCCGGATAGCCAGATATTCGAATACTTGGGAGTCCTAGTCATTATTTCTTCGACAAGCGACAAAGAGCGAGCCATACCTGAAAACCGGCGCTCACGAGAGCGCCCGTGGGCGTCACCGGGCTCCGCGCACCCTGCAGATCGGCTTCCTTGCAGTCCTTCGCGCTGCATATACTCTGCTTTCTGTTTGCCGGAGAATGCGTGCCATTGTCGAGGTAACTGATGAGCTTGTGCTCCTCAGCGGCGAAGGTGCTCATGCCGCCTTTGTAATTTTGCGGTGACTGCGGTGCCGATCGGTACTTTGCTCGTGGTATCATCACTGTCAACGAGCGATCGCGTTGATCGTCGTTCATTGGTATCGCTGTGGGCACGTCAGGTTTACGGGAAATTGAGTGGATTCATTTGTGAGAAATTTTTTTCAAATAGTAAACATAGTACATATAGTACATAGTAAACATAGTAAATATAGTACATAGTAAAAATATACGATCAAATATAGTACATAGTAAAAAAACTTTTTGGTCTACTTCTATTATTTGTTTGACGCACCAAAATCAGTGCTTAGTTTTTACTAGCATTGTTTAAAACTTTGTGTTTCTACCACGTATCACGTTGAATCATTAAATCTTATTCGAGTTATAAGAGGAGAGTGTCGCTCGCACAGTGGAAGAAGAAAGTGAGAGTACTTACCAGCAGCTGGTATCATGGTGGCTTTTCTCGGCGGATGACGAGGTTTCCCACTGATCTTGCGAATCGGTCTCTTATTTGTCGGCGGCAACGGTGCTATCATCTGCGGCGGCGGCGGCAACACGTGCGGTACATGATGCGGTATCGCCAAGTCAGTGACGCTACCTTCGCTGCTGGTGTCGCCGCCGGTCCCGGGGATCATTGCTCGTCTGTCGCCGGTCTTTCGGTCGCGTCCCGGATGGCGGAAGCACGCCATTCCCATACAAACTGCCAAAAGGCCTAGTAGGATCGCTCCGGCTGTCACCAGAGCTATCAGCAGGACTGTCAAAAAATGAAAACGTTTGGAAAAGATCAAGTCAAGCAACGGCTCTTATTAGTCTTTCATTCTTACTGCTCGTTTACCAGCAGAGTCTTCAATATTTTTCTTTGTTTGAAAGTGTTTCTGGGATTCTTGCTCTTTATGTCATTTGAATTCTCCATTACGATTCAATCGCAAAAGCGTCCTGCTTCACGATGCTATTCTCACCTTTGAGATTAACCTGGCAACGTTGACCGCTGTGCCAGGGGAAGCACTCGCACACCTCCTGACCGAAGGAGTTGGTGACGCAATGACCCTTGTTGTTGCAGCCGGCGCATCCCAAGGGTGCTTGCGAGCACATTCTTCCAGGATATGCCGGATTTTCCGACAAATCAGCCCAACCTTCTCTGCAAGAACACTGGTATGATCCTCGTAAGTTGAAGCATGCCGCGTGAGGCGAACAGTCGTGATATGGACCGCCCTCCTTGGAAGCGCACTCGTCGAAATCAACCGCTTCGATCTAGATGAAATTTGAGAATGAGATGTCGATAAATAAATCTTTGGTAATCTGTATATATCTGTACACATAGGCAAATTACTAAACTCATTTTGTACAAGTGAGCTCTTAGTAATTTACTGTTCAATCGCAATTATGATGAAATATTGATTGTTTTTTTCATTCGCAATACAATAAGGGAGACTAGTTGGCTATGTGCTTTGTTTATATATTTATCATAAGACAATGGAAACGAAATTATAAAATATTTTTTTCTAGAATATAAATATTTTTCCCATTTCATAAAAATCAGAAAAATAATTATAATTAAAAAATATAAAAAATGATTTAAGAGCAGTCAAATATATATTTTTGAACGTCTCGAAATATTGTATTAATATTGTAAGTGAATAAACTTAGTCACTTAGTTACTAAGTGACGTGTTATTAGTTAAAATGAAATTTTTTGCAAATGTATGACATACTGTTTTAAATAATGAAAGTGATTTTTATTTATAAAATGATTGAAATTGAACACATGGACGGACAAGATAAAGTCGATCGAGTGTTTAAGGGCCGACAGAGAGCTATAGAGACCTCTCGCAAAAATTCCGGAACTATTAATCAGAATATATTTTATACTTGGTCTTCTTTATTTTGAATTTATAGTCAACTTGATTTTAAGATAAGATGATCACGTTGCAGCATGTTCATATTTCGGTTATTTTAGAAGAAAATACGCGGTTCATAGGATCGTTAAGGATATAAAAATATAGGAGTCTCTGTCAAGTTTGTACAATCAAATACAACAGTTAGTTGTCTGAGAAGTTGTAACTTCAAAATTCTAGAAAAGTGCCATCCAATCCCACTCTCCAATATCTGTCCATAGGTTTTTATTGCATCAATTTTTTTGTATATGATTAAATATTTAAACTTTCCTCCTTGTGGAGCTATACTGATTTATTCGTTAACTTACCAGGTCGAGGTTCTTCGAGGCGTACACCTCCGTGCCGCCTAAACTGTAATTGCTGCCGACTAAATATTTCCTCAGGATCTCCTTGAGTCTGGTCTCGTTGGCGTTATCACTGAGCTGTACGTGGAACTCGACTTTCGTGGGATCGGAGGTGAATCCGGCGATCTTCAGTCCTCTGTACACGTCCCGCAGATCGCTCTGCATCAGAGTTCTGTCCAATGCGTCCTTCGTTGGAACCGCCAAGCGTTTATACATTGTCGAGGTGGAGTCGTTCAGAGCAGTGTCGTACGCCACGGACTCATGGCCGATGCGGTCCAAACCGACGCGTAGAGTATACGTGTAAGTCGCTAGAAATTTGTTTCACGTTAACGCTCAGAGCAATTAATTTTCCAGTTATCTAAAAGACTTCAGGCGTGACTGCGTATCCAGAAACTTACGCTTGCAAGGGCGATCTGGGAACATCCTCGCGAATCCTGGCCGACACACGCATCTCATCTCGGTCCCTACTTCGGCGCATATCTCGGACTTGGACGATTTACATTCTGGTGTACACTGATTAGCAACGGGTGCAAGGGGTACCACTGGGGCGCCTAAAACTCCACCCGCGAGCACTCTATGCACTTCGTTACCAGCTGGATCTTGTTCATCGCGAGAGACCTCTTCTCCGTATTCAGCCTCCACCTGAAATCCAAATGGAACGTATTCATTTATGTCAAATGCATTTCTTGTAATTATTTTGGGTTTTTTCCCGAAGATAAAAATAAGAGATATTAGTAAATAAAAAATGTCTCTGTCTCATGGTCTCAATAGTTCGTTACTCCAAATGTTCGGAGGTCGAATAGAGAATAAATTGTTAAAAATAATGACTTTCATTTGGGAAAAAAATATTCTAGATGATCGTTTATGCAAAAAATATAAACAACTTCTTTTGAATTAAATATGGAGATATATATGTAATGTATTTTTTGAATACTATAAATATTTCAAGAGATGCAGGAATGGAGGCAGTGCAGAAATGAAGGTGGTGGAAGTAAATCAAAGATAGAGATTATAGATAAAGATTCGAGATGGAGAGAGAGTGGAAAAGAGCAAGTGGAAATTGAAGAAGGAAGGAGAAAAGGAAGAGGAAAGACGATAGCAATAAATGTTAGCTTTTTTTATATTTTTTGATCTTATGTTTGTTAATATTACGTATTATAGTTCATATCAATAGCACGATCTAAATGACGCGTGTCTATGTTACTTTAGTAATGAAAAAATAGAAAGAAAGTAACGACGGTAACGACGTCAGTCCTGGTCTACAATAGCTGGGATTTGTCTTAAATCTTAAGAACTGGCCAATCACAGTTGATTATTCTCCTCACACTTGACTGTGATTGGTCAATTTTTAATGCTTAAGTTACTTATTGTAGACCGGGACTTACAAGTAACGCGTTACTTCCCAACTCTAGCATTTTATGAATTCGCACCTCTTCCGCGCCAGGCGCTGGTGGTTTTTGGTCGCTCATCACGACGAATATAGAGTCATTGTCCTCTGCGTTGTCATATGATGACGGAATCCTGGTGACGATCGATTGCAAGATCGTCGAAGTCACCGTAGAAACGACGCTTGTCGGACGCAGCAGCGTCTCGGTCACCGTTTCTACTGTCGTGGTGGTGATCGTATGCGTGAGCAGAAGAGTTCTTGTTGTCGGCGGCGAACCCAACACTGACGTCTTCGTCCTTGTCACCGTCGACGTCACGAATCGCGTCACCTAGTTTGCGAATATTAATTGATAAGTTAATAAGGAGAAGTGGAAAAAGTGATAGATAGAAATGGAAGAGAACTAGTAAGCTTCCAGGAACGTAATTGACAACATCGAAATGACAGGATTACCTCTTTAGGCTTCGTTCGTACAGTGGCGTTAGACCCGTCTGCGGCAACAGCGCTGTTTGTAGTTTTCATGACATTGTTTGTAAACTGAATGGTCGAATCGGTAGTCTTGGAGGTCGCCTTATTGTCTGGCATCGGCAACACCGTGCTGGTCACTTTGGTGATCGAACTATCAACTCTGGTAACGATTATAGGCTGCTCTTGGCTCATCGTTTTGTTCGCCGCAGCACTGTATTGGGTCGTTTGTGGTTTTTGCGTCTTGGTCATGTCTACTTTCGATACAGTCGAATGTTGTTGCTTCTTCTGATTCGTTTCCGCGATGGATGTTAATGATTCGGTAGGTTCCATTTTTATGGTGGACGGTGGGACGCTCTCGTAACTGGATTCTAAGAATATCGGGTGCTCTGGCCGTTTGACAGGGTTCGGAGGAATGTCCATCATATACGTCCTCGTAGGATTGACGTCATGATGGATCGTCGACGATCTGCTCGGCTGAATGTGATCTACTTGAGGTGTTCGCAGTTTCGTTGGTATTACCATATTTATCGGCGATGTCGATGTCGTCTGAATGGAGATCCTGAAACACAAGTAGTGCTTTCGTCATTAAGAGCCGATTTTTCAACAGTAATTTAAACTGTGTTCAAATACATTAAATATATTGTTAAAAGCCAACTTAAACTCAAGACCAAGTTTAAATAGCAATTGAAAAATCGACCCTAAGAGTATCAGTGCGTTTATACGAGTGATAAAGGTCTAGACTTCGAGAAGTAACAGTCAGTATACCTGGACACTGGCTTTGTGTCGAAAGGCCGCACGGTGTAGATGCTGACGTGTTCAGTCATTCGTGTTTCCACAGGTCTGAGAATTTCGGGCACGTCGACCACGACTGGGAGGTCGACAGTTCCGTGAATAATCGGTATCTTGGATTCAATGTCTTGCACCACTGGAATATGAGACGTTGCGACCGCTGTGGCTATCTGTATAGAGCCAGAAACCGCGACAGCTGGTCTCACGGTAGCGATCTCGAGCGGCCGAGACGTTGTCAATATCGGCGGTGGTACCATGTCCTAAAGTGAAATGAATCTTGATAAAAATAGCGCTATTCGATACAATGGGAACTTTGGTGTAATTCGACGTTGAAGTTTGAATCGATTCTTCAAACTCTACTTAAAGATTTAAAATATTAAAATTCCTAATAAAACTAATTTTGTAAGATTCGGTGAAATTAATATCAGTATCTTTATTAATTTAAATATCTTTATTAAAGATTCAACACTCCTACTTTCGAATTTGCGAAAGGAAAAATATTCAGACGTACGAAAATTTACACTTCGAAATATTGTTACTCAAACTTATGCCTCAAAGTTTTGGAATTTGCAAAGCTTCAAAGAACTGAAACTTCAGATATAATTTATAATCCTAAATCTTACCAAACTGTCCACGTTGCTCTCGTATTAAAAATCAATATTTTATACTCAAATTATTCATGAACTTTAGAAAACCTTGATATCTTCAAAGTCTCACCTGCGACAGCAGTTCCACGAGGAACGGTTTCGTGAGCGACGGTCTCGGACTGGGTGGCACCATACTCGTGCTGGGTGGAGGAGGCGCGACCGTGGTGATCGACTCTTTCAGAGGCACATACTTCGGCGGCTTCAGGCCGGTCGTCTCCTCGGTCGTCACTAAAACGAATCGATCTTCTATCGGCACATGAGTAGTGGTGATATCCACCGGTGGTGGCGACAATCCGACTACATCGCTTGACGGCGGTGGTGGAGGTTTGAGACCCTCTTGCTCGTCTTTGTTGGCCTGATTTGACCCAACGTTCAAGGGTGGTGGCATCATGTTCCTAGAAGGAACGTTCATTTCCTTAATATTAATTGGCCTCGTCTTAAGCTCGTCCTTCTTGTTCTGCGACTCTGAGGAGGCAAAGCTGGTTTGATACGCCGTGTCCAGAGCCTCGTCGTTCTTTTTGTTGTGCGACAGATTGTTCTTCGTAACCAACATGCTGGGGGGTCTCTCAGTCTGCGTCTTGCTGTCTACTTCTTCACCCGTTGCCTCAACCGGCATGGAAAACTTGATGCCTGGACGACCGTGTGCGTCCATACCCGGTGTGCCGCTTGAGACAATCACCGGCCCTGGCACTTGAGGTTTCGGCTTCGTTAAGATATGAGGATACTCTGGATGCACTCTCGTGTACGTTCCATGCTCTGGACGAACGACGAGGACTGGTCGATTATTTCCAATTGACGTCGGACGAGGTGCGGTACTGTTCTTATACTCAGTTGGTTTCACGCTGGTCTGAGCAATATGGGAATCATGTCCAGCTGGTATTTTCTGTGGAGACTTTATGATGTCTGGAAATACCATACCCACGTTCCAGTTTTGGAGATCGTGACTCGTCTTCTGTTCGTGATCCAATGTCTGATTGACGAAAGTCTCTGCGATGTTCGGCTTGACGTCTCCTGGACGTTTTACGACATAATCAGGTCTGACTTCCAATTTAATCGGCGGTTTCGTCAATATTTCCGATTTGTGATACAGAACAGGTCTCGAATCAGGTCGGACCGGTCTAAGATACGGTCTTCCCGGTCTGTCCACTTCAGCGCCGAACTGAGGTATAATTGCGGGTGGCTTTAGATCGATAGTATCATCACGCTTCGGCGAACTTGCTGTCGTGAGTTGGCCGTCTTGCGGCTTTCGGATCAACGTTGACGTATACTCGTGATGAGGAGCGGGTATACCGTGAACGATTTCATAATCAGGCTTGCCTTCCTTTTGTTTGTAGCCATAAGGAACGGCCGGGTCTACATGACCGTTGTAAACACCAAAAGGCTTGCCCTGCACCACAGGCAATTCATAGGGCCTCGTGCTATAGAGATCAGCACCGTGTGATCCTGGCAATATCGGCTTACCATTATATCCGAAAGTCACACTTTGTTCTTGTGCAACTTCCAACGGCTTACCTACCACCGTATTAATGGAAACTACTGTTCCATACGGAGATTGTGAATTCAGAGTCTGATTGATGCTATGAGAATACAAAGGATTCGACACGTCCTTTTTATTTTGATTATCGACCTCTTGGCTTTTGTTGCCTTGTTTATTGTAATAATTCTGATAATTGACATATTCCGAAGCATCAATGGCGGAATCCGGTAACGACTGCTGTGTCTGCGTATGAGTCTGCCATTTATCAGGTTGGTCTTTTGGAATCTGCTGCGGTTTTGCGGCTACCTGAGGGTTCTTGTTGTCTTCCGACGTTGGTTTTGGATACGAAGGGTTGTGATATTCTATCGTTCCAGTCGGGGGAATACGATTGTTCTGTTCGATTGGAGAATGCGGTGTTGCGAAGTTATTCACACCTGCGTTCTCTGAATAAATATGGGGAGGTCTTTCCTGATGGTCGACTTGAAGGGTGAACAGTTTAGGCGGCATCCTAGTAGGTTCTTGATGAGAGTGAGGATTCATCGGCGGCCGATGTGCTAAGGGAAAAGTGTTTTGTGTCTTCGCCGGGAGTCTCTGTGGTCCAGAGTACGTTGGTTTTCGGGCTGGTGGATATCCAGTGGGTCGTTCCACAAAGACATGTCTGTCCAGAGGACGGTCAGACGTCGGTCTCAGTATGGGTCGCGGTCTTGGTCGGTTGTTCAGTGCGAATCTAACCGGCTTCTTGTCGGATTTCCAACTAGTGCCTAATGTTATCTCGTTACCAGAATCCGGCTTGCCAAGGAATATATACCGATGCGGAACTTCGCTCGAGGAGACTTCCGTGCGCCTCGGTGGAGCTGGCTCCAGCGGGTTTTGGCCTTTCGAGAAATGGCCGCGCACCGGCGGCTGATGAGCCGAATGCACGTGAGAATGAATAGGTGGGTGTGAAGCAGATTGCGGCCGAATGTTGACTGTCTCCGGTTTGTGATGCACGAGAATCTCGGTGTGAACGTGGCCTTGGCTGGAGCTTCCAGACTCGTCAGGACGTTTGATCAGATGCACTTCCGACGGTCTTTTATCGGGTCGTAATAGAGGAGTCTCTGGAGTTTCCTGTGGCCTTCCGTAATCCCGTACGGGTGACAATGGAATGGCGTGTGGACGACCAGATAAGCCTGGTTTTGATGAAGCAGGCTTGAAGCTAATAGGTGACGATGGAGGTGGCGAGGGAGGTACCATGTAGTCAGCTGGATCTTTCTCGCTTGAGTATTGAGGCAAGTTTTGGACCTAAATGGATATACGTACCAAATAGAATTCGTGTTACTTTTATATTTGAAGGTACAGATGCTGGTATCGTGCCTACCTTTTGTATACCGACGAAACTTGGCCCAACTTCAGGTTCCGGATAGGGCGAAGGGTCGTCGAAATATTGTCCGCTTATGTGAGGTTCGCTGGTGTCCCCAAAAATCAGTGCTTGCGTGCCTCCTTGAGGAATTACGACGTTAGCTACTTGGCTAGGTTGGATATTGACTAACAGAGGCTGTCCCGTGGATCTGTCGATGACGTGCGGGACTTGATGAACTATTGGTCGAGTTGGAATTGGTTTTGACTCTGAAGTCTGGATGACGATAGAAGTATCCGGCAGCAGAGGATCTTTCTGCGCCCATAATGGTCGTTTCTGTTCTTCGGACGGCAATATAGTCGGACGAGGTTTCTCGATCGGTTTCTCTGAGTGAATCTTCAAAAAAATATCGTAATATATGTTCATATTTATTAGGTTGATGCAAAACATTTACTATCATTAAATTCTTGCAAGAAATTTGTATAAAAAGAAAATAGAAAGTTCTCGTTAGATGTTTAAAAAATCTTGAATCGATATTGTCCGTTTTATCTGTAAAAATTACACTAGTCAATAAGCAATTTGTCATGTGGAATTTTTAATGTGTTTCTTATGTATTTTTATAAGTGAAATCCGAAAATGAATTCAGAATTTTTCCATTACCTACTTTTCTTTTTTTATGACAGTCATCTGAACTTTAATATATTGTATATAAGACATTTCACGCAATTCGCAATTCAATTCAAAATTTTTTTTATAACAAATTATTACCAGTATTAAGTATTTTCCATAAAAAGTTCCTCCACTTGAATAATATATTTATCTATTTCTTAAGTTTAATAATTTTCCTCCAATTAGATACAAGATCTGATAAAAATTCTTTTGTTTTTAAAGAAAGTACAAGTTAAATACAGCAAAAAGTTACTAGCTACATTTTAAATTATTATAAATAAGCCATGTCTGTATATATATAAAGAAAATAAATTATAATATATATAAAGAAAATAAATTTTCTTGAAAGTTAAAAATCACATTATTAGAAAAATATACTAAAATATACTAATAAAATATATTAATACACTATATACTATATAGATATAATACATACAATATGATCCAAGTGAGAAAAGTTTTTTTTGTAGACCAATGTTATTAATTCTTTAAAATTGAATAAATCTTTTATATATTTTTTTACTTTTATGCTTTTTAAATGTACATATTTTTACTTTTTTATTCTTTAAATGCACATATTTTTATCTTTTTGAATGTACAAAAAATATATATAAAAAGAAACTCACTTCATCGTATATCGTTGGTGACGGAGGTGGTGTCAAGGGATCTTTGGCGCTCCAAGGTCTTCTGTATTTTTCTGAATTCCATTCTGGAATCTTATGGCTCAGATTAGGATTCGCGTATTGCTCCACGTTCGGTCTGTCGGGTGGCTTCAGCAAGGGGTCGTTCGCCAGTATATCCTGCTTCGATCCCATTCTTTTAGGAGGTGACGATTGAACAGGATGCAACTTCTGGGGTTGCTTAGCTGTCGGGTTATTTGCGTCCAGAGGAATGGAAACCGGCACCTTCAGATGTTCCTCATAAACCTGATGCGCTGGCAAGATCTGTATCTGCGGGCCTTGGATGGTCGGTTGAGCTTGCACGTCTTCGGGATCGTTTTCGAGGACCTCCAGCACAGGATGTACCGGAATATTCGGCACGGGTAAAGGAGGAGGTTTCATGCCGTCCTTCAAATATGTTTGTGGTGGTCTCGGCGCCATTTTGCCGGGCTTGCCTATAATGACATCGCTGTTCGCGGTGATCACCTCGCCGGGAGAGATCGGTATGCCATCGGCAAGGCTGCTGGTCACTTTGTGACGCGTTTCGGCAATGTAATTGTGATTGAGATTCACTAGATGAGCGGCTAAAGGAATAAAACACTTTTAGAAAGTCGGAAACGAAAAAAAACGCATTGAAAACTTAACGACGATCTCGGGAGAAAAAGAAAGAGTTACCTATATTTTGACTTTCGGCAGTCTCGATGTCACCGTCAGCGAATTCCGCAACCGGTATGTAAATCGGCGCTCTCTGTGTGGTGACCTCTTGGGTCTCCGCGAGAGGCGCGGTATCGTTTCGACGAGTAGCTGTGGCGGTCTTCCCTTGCAGCAATCCCGCCATCGCCGTGATCACCGGTCCTAGGGCGGACAAGCTGTTAATTCCCAGCGAACCGAGACCGAGGAGATTGCCGACTTGGAGATCGCTCCCGGCCTGAGAACTGGGCCGTTTGTTTTGCGCCTCGTCGCTCGATAGCGCAGCGCTATTATTGTCCTGTACGAAAAAGTTCTATGAAATGTGAGCATTTGCACGAGACAATACGTACAATTGGATGTACTCCATTAGAAACACGAAGCCTTAACACGAGAAGCCTCAACGTTCCGTTCGAGAAGTAACATAAAGAAGACATGCCTGCTTGGTCAAATCCGCCGGTTTCACGTTGAAAGCCCCGCTCGCCGACGACGTGTTCGTCGACGTTGTAGCCGTCGTGCTCGCGGAAGTCTTCTCGTCTTTCTTGATTTCCGGGAAAGAAGTCGCTTCCGGCATATTCGTGGTCGTGGTCGGGTCGATCTGGTCCTCCTCGTCGAAAAAGATGATCGTCGAGCCCGTGACGACGTTCTTCACCGGGTCGGAGTGGTGCGCCGTCGTCAGCAGAGCATTCATGTAACCGGCGTCCAACAGACTCGGCGCAATCGATTCCGTCACAACGTTTTCAACGATATGCGAGCGAGACGTCACGGTCGTCGACGTTTCGCCGTCTGGACCAGCCTAACGAGAGAATAGGAAGAAATTTTCAAACATGCAGACAGACAATTTTCATTGAATAATACAGCGTATTAATAACATAAACCAGGGCTATTTGGCTACTGGAAAAATCGATTATTTTTACTGTTCTTTAATAGATTTCAGAATCGAGCAAGCAGGGGTTTCAAAACTATTTTTGACATATTTAAAAATCTTGTTTGCTTAATTTTGTAGCTTATTAGAAGGTAGAAATAACCGGTTTATTTCAAATTACCCCGTTAACCAACTAGCTCTTATCTCCCTTTACTTACAAGACTTTTGTATGGTGCAACTGGGATCTGCTCATACTAAAGCCAGATTTATACGGAGAAAATATATTGTAGTAAAAATTAGAGTTATATTTCTTTTTACAATCTTTATGTAAAACTGAACTTAATGAAATTGTAATATAAATTATTATATTAATAGTAAATTTTACAATCTACTTGGTATACGATAAAAACATTCAATTACAATAATTTTATAATAAAAAGTTAAATGAGAATTTTTAAACAAATATACATGTCCAGCGCAACGCGTGTTCTCTCGTGTGCAGATAAAACTCGTTAAACTTAATGAATAAATTCTCTAACATTTGGCAAACAACTACATGAATTTTCAAGATATTAAGATCAAAGTATTAATGTTTGGACACTAATAACAATAGTATCTAACTTCAGACGTTCTTATTATTTTGCTTTTTGAATATAAACATTTAGATTTTTAACGTACAGAATATAAATCTATTCAATACGTATGTATATATTACTGTATATTGAAAATTCAAATATTCGTCTTTAAACACTAAAATAATAACAATAATAAAGATAGAATATATGTCACACTTCTGAACAATGATGGACAGTTGTAACAGTGCTGATTGTGTTCCATTGATTCTTATCATTTGCAAAGGAACTGTTTACACAAATAAATTTGTTGAATTGATTAATGGCTGAAGGAAGAATTTCTGGTGAACTAATTCATTTTTATAAATAAAAAATTCTGTTTTTTCAATCATCTTTGTGTGGTTTGTCAGGTTAATTCAAACTTTTTTCTTTCTACTATTAAAGCAATATATGAGACATACGAAAGATGTAATTCAATATAGAATTTTCTCACATGCGTTGCGAAAAAGTTCCACGCTTCTACATACGGTTATATTTTTGCTCTCTGAATTTCCCATACTTTCTTAAAATTTTTTCTATATTATAAATATATCCTGGTTAGACGAGGATTTCTATTGTGATATTTCTTCGGCTAATGGATGTTTATATAATCGAGGAAAATTCTCTGCGTGCGCACGTAGCGCGCGATTAACGTGTAGTCGAAAGTCCCTGCGATTACCTGCAGTAATGTCGTGAAGTACGTGAAGGTGGTGAGGTACGTTTTTGTGGCGAAGATCTGTATAGGTTCCGGCGTAGGATTAATCGGCGCCGTCCTCGTGGTTGTTTTCCGTACCGGCACTTTCTCCAGCACCACGTCGGTCGACGTGGCCACGTTCGTGCGCACCACCGTGCTGCCTTTCTCCAAAAATGTGTTGAAGTAGGTGTACGTGATGAAATACGTCTTCGTGATATCCGTCATGCTGCCGTCGGTATTATCCAAGGCGGTCAAAGTGGTCGTGACGCTGGTCGGTCGCGGCGGAGGTGCCGATTCTGTCACTATTAACTAGAGAAATAATAACAAATGAGGAAAAATGCATGTAATATTGCAGCGGAGTACGTAATGAGTAGAAGCGGGCTAACCTGAGTGATCGTGTCGCTGACCGTCTCCACTTTTGTCCGACCTTCTTCCATAAACGTCTTCTCTAACACTCTGGTGCTGAGATACGTATTGGTTTCCGGTCGCGGGGCTTCTGACGGCTCGAGAATCATGTCTAGGTAATGTTGCGGTGCGGTAACCGTGTTTGTTATGACTTTCGTGCTACTTTCTAACGCGTCATTCGCGTCCGGGTGGTCGGTGTTCAAAGTCAAATACGTGTAGGTAGTTTTGAATACTTCGGTGCGCAGAGTCGGTGACGCCTCCAGGGTCACGGCTGCCGTCTCGGAGCCGGGCTTCCTGTGCCGCTCCTCCGTCGCTGTGTTTGCCACCACCTGGGAGAAAAAAAATGTTTATTATCGATAACGAGCTATATCTTTTAAATAATTCGGATCACAAAGGCTTTTAAATATTCAGTTAACAATCAAGTACGTAGGTACAGGCCAGGCCAGGAAATTTTGAATTTTGCTGTAAACTCTAAATCTATACAGGTGATCCCGAAGCTTTCTGGCATCCTAAAACCAAATCCGTTGCCCAAACTGCGCTATCATACGTTATATTTTCAAAATATTCTAACTTAAAAATGCCAAGAACATTTTTTGTCATTTTTATATTAGAATAAGTTTAAATCGAGAAGTAGAGATAATTTAGCCAACAAGTTTGAGTTTAGTATGGAAAACTCTACTAAAATCGATAGTTATATTTAATAAATTAGAAACCAAATACTTCATATACCTATAAACTTTTATAGACTATATAAACTTAGAGACTATATAGACTTCATAATCTATAATTTTATTATCTATATAATTTTATTACCTATAACTTTTGTAGACTATATAAACTTTTATAGACCTATATAAACTTTTTGTATCCTTTAACGCACGTTGGTAGCTATACTTCCCGAAACGTTTAAAATGTTCATTTATATAACAAAATAAAATATCTAAAATTATACTTATTTATTTATTGAAGTTTTATCGAAATAGTATCGAATCACATATACACAGTTACTAAAATGTATATAAAATGTGTATTGCAGTATACCAGTGTACCGTCGTACTGCAAAGAGTTAAAGGTTACAAAATGTTTAGCTGATATGTATGCAGTATTTATTATATTTATTGAATGTAAAAAATGATTTTAATATATTTTTTCGTTCTAAATTTAAATATGTTCGCCAAATCACTTTTTGTTTCACTTATTTATGTTTAAAAATGATAAAAATGTCTTTTTTGACATAATTAAATTAGAATCTTGGAAACCTGATGGAATATTTTTGACAGCGCATTTGATTTCAGCGTACCAAGAATTTTCAGGATCAGTTACAACAGTCTAGGAATCAAAATTGATGTCGGCCTGTGTTATTAAAGCCAATATTTAGATGCAGTTTCCTATTAAATAGGAAAAATTATATTAATAAAAAATTTGTCCGATGAAACCTTTCGCAAACATTTCAATTGAAATTTGGATCAATATGATAAACGCGCTTATAATGAGGAAATAAATGGCACACTCAGACAATTGCGGACTCTATGCACTTGATTAGATTCTTTTAAATACGCTTCCGTGATCGTTGTTCACGCGATAAAAGTTGGCATGCTCGTCTTCGAATTATAAGATGCCATTAAATACAATTAGACTATGTCTCTAATTATGAATTACTAATATCATTATTAATAATTAATATCAATATATTTTAGTGGCAAGCACGTAAGATCTCGTGGCGTTTGATGTTGGAAAAGTGTAGACGTGTGTTTGCGTAAACACCTGCTGCTCCGTGGAGACGGTAGTCGTTCCATCCTTGGTGATCGTGCTAAGATACGTGAAAGTTGTTGTGCAAGTCTTCGTGACAAACTCGTTCGGCTTATCCTGCGGGAGGAGCATGACCACTGCGTCCGACAAGGTGAGGGTAGGTTGAGGATTCGAGTTCTCCCATCGTAGAGCCGGAGTCGGCCCGGCGACGATCACTTCCACGCCGTTTGACATTACGCGGGTCGCTAAGTTGAACCTGCGTCCCTCTTCTTCATCCTTCGCCTCGTACTCTCCTGTTGTTATAATTATATAAAGTAACGTCATAGAATATATTTTGTACGCGATGTCCCAGAATTACTGTACGATACTGCAATTAACTCGTAGATATTTCAATGATACTCGTGTTTAAACATATTTTAATTTAACCATAGAATTATCGCAACTCTCACAAAGTGAATCAGTAAAAGAAGTATTTCATTGATAAGCAGTGAGTATTCACTGATCTTATGTATGCGTTTGCAAACTGCATCAACAATCGGACAATAACTACTATTGATTGATTCTTTCAGCGAAATTTTACTGAATGCAATGCCATATTTATAACTGAACCAGTTAAAAGCATTTCAGTGAAGAATACACTAATATGTAAATACTAATATGTAAATACACTAATTGTACTTTTTATTATTAGTTCAATAATCAGTACCTGTACGATAAATAGATATATCGTTATCGGGACACGCGTATTAAATAAATAAATAAGGTACTGATGTTCTCTCCAACGAGACTCGGCGGGTTGAAGGTCGCGCGACCTCCGGGACAGAATTACGCGCAAATATGCAACTCAATCGAGATCGTAACACAGAAACTTACCTATCATCAGTGTTGCACAGACGATCAAGTGTCTACATTAATATATATATAGGACCAAAGAAAGAAATCATATATTCAGATTATACAATTGCAAATACGATAAATTTTTACAGAGAAGAGATCAAATTATGTATACAGGGTGTCCCAGATCACCTTCACAATCTCTCGTGAGAACGTAGAGCGGATTGAGATGAATGCAAAAGTCCTATATCATTTTGCGATATTCGCAATAATAGTCAAGATATTGATTAAAAAAAGATTGGTAAATGATCGTGCGCGATATGGTAGATGAGCTGCAATGGCGCCGTCTACCGCTGTATACTTTTACATTAAGTCCAACTAAACAAAAAAGTTCTCTACCATTTAGCAAATGACAACATAGATTTTCAGATATTAATCAAAGAAAATTGTCAAGATTGTGTACCACAATGCAAAAATTTCTTTAATTAATATCTGAAAATCTATATGATTATTTGCAAAATGATAGATGACTTTTTGTTCGATTTGACTTAATGTGTAAGTATACAACGGCAGACGACGCCACTGCAGCTCATCTACCATATCGCGCGTGATTATTCATCAATTTTTTTAAATTAATATCTTGAGATTTAATGCGAATATCGCAAAATAATATTAGACTCCTGTGTTCATCTCAATCCGCTCTTCACAAGGGATTGTGAAGATGATCTGGGACATCCTGTATACGTAAATAACATACGGCGAAATTAATACTTTCATATGTATATATCCTATAGAGTAGAGAGAGACGCAAATTTAAATATGTACAGCGTCACATCTGGTCATATACAATATGTACATTTCATACAGAGTCGTAATATACAGAAAACAATTTAGAATACCAAAAGCCAATTAACACAGTATTTGACAGAGCATTTACACAGTAGTCCCGATAGTCCGTCTCGTACGTCTCGAACCGAATTCGCGCAATCGAGAATCAGGAGGTCTTTGTAGCGAAATAAAATAGTATATTAGTCTAAGGATTATGTTACATGGCGATCACCGTGTGCACAGTCGACGTTGACGAAACGGCGTCTTTCGTTCATTCGTTCATCGCTGCTTTCGCTTCTCTTTTCTCGTCAAAATCGTGGATTTCGTCTGACAGTAGTTATTATTTCAAATTGCTGCGTATCCACGCGAGATGTTTACACACAGAAAATTGTTTAACATAGCATACTAATAGTATGATTCACAAGTCTTGTATTGCGCGATTGGGATACACTCATATTGAAATCAAAATTCATATATATGACAATAAATATTTTCAAATATATTCCGTAATCTGATGGTATATAAATTTACCATACATGTCAGAAAATATTAGAAAGTAAAAGAATATTAGAAAGAAAAAGTGTTCTACAGGGATATATGTATTTTTAACTCTATAGCTTCGATTGTTCGTTATTTCTGATATAAGAAAAATTTTATTTCGGCTAGTAATAATTTTATAACGTATATTACACTGTGTATGCGCGTTTATTGGAGAAAGATGGAATATTTATCGTGCTTCTGGATAATAATGATCAATTGTAACCATGTCGTTCGCATTATGTTACTTGTCATAACTTTTAAAGGAATTGTTGCACCCCAACAAGTTTATTGAATTGATTTTTAATTGAAGGAAACAGAATTTTTGGTTCTTATAAATCAATTCTAAGAATCAGAAATTATATTTTCTTCAATCAAAATGTGTTTAGTTTATTCATTGTTAGGTTAATTCAATTAAATTTTTCCTCGTTTAGCATTAAAGCAATACATAACATGTACAAAAGATGTAATTTAATGTGGGAATTTCTTGTTTATATTCTCCAGACAACACAATCTACTAAAAAAATACCTTAAAATCGTCCAAAAGACATCTTATTTTTTTAAATGCTTTTTAGACATCTTTAAAACATCTTTTAATAATTTGTGCTGGATTCTTTCAATGCTTTTGAAATACTTGTTGAAAAAAACGATTTTTGCTTAGTTTCATTCTTGCTCTCTAAATTTTTCATACTATCTTTACATTTTTCTCTACATTATAAGTACACCCCAGTCGTGCAAGGCTACTATGGTTCTTTTTTGGTTAATGAACGTTTATAGCTTCGACAAGAATTCTCTGCGTGCACTCACACGGGTATGAATTGAAAGTTCCGCGTGTCCACACGTCTTCCGTGCACGGTGCGATCGCGAGAGAGGTCTCAGATGGGCAAAAGGGCTACTCACCGGCAACGGGTACTGGATTATACACAGACGATACGAAGCTGGCTGACGACTCCACGGTAGGAGTGACAGTCACCGTGACGGGCACCGTCAGCGTAAGTGTCGTCACTCTCGGTCGTACGGTCGTCGACGATGTCACTTTAGTCTCCAGTCCGTTAAGTTGCGTCACCACGTACGTGTATGTCCTTAATCGCGTCGACGTCACTACCGTCTCGGTGTAGTAGACGCTCGTGCTAGGCTCGAGTGCGAGGTCCGGCGTGTACTCGGCTCCCGAATCGACCGTGGCTGGCTTGGACGGCAAGATCTCGGGGAAATCGAGGCGGGACAGTGACAGGTAAAGGTCATCCGCTAGTCCAGCCTCGATTTCCTCCGGTGTGGGCGACGCGATCTTGCTGGTGACCTTCGTCGCGGGGGTGGTCTCAATAACGGAGGTGCTTTCGGGAATCGGTGATTTGGCGTCGCGACTGTAACTCGCGCCGAGAGGTATCACGCTCGGTACAATCGAGTCGTCGTGCCGATAATTCGACGTGTCGGGCTCGCGTGTAGACAATTTCGCGGTCTCGAGTGTCGACAATTTCGCGGTCTTGAGCGGAATCACGCTGTCAAAGCTCGGCGCGATCGTGTCGTTGGATAGGAGGACTGTTTCGGGAATCTGGGTCGAGCTAAAGTCGAGTTTGACGGCCGGTTGTATGGGTCGCACCGTCGGTATCTCTTCGGGACCTTCGTTGCTCACATCCGCCGGCATCTTGCGCTCCACGGAATCCACGGGAATTACGGGTGATTCTTCACTTTGAACTTCTACCTTCGGTCTCGTCGCCTCAGTCACAGAGAAGATGTGAGATTCCGTTGTATTAGGTATCGTGGCGTTCTCTTCGTCGGGGAGCTCCGTCGACTCGGAGGATTTGTCGAGCACGCTTAATGTCACGAGATCGTCCGTCAGAGTGGTCGGCTCTTCGAGATTGGCGACAGTCGTATATTCTTTCACCGTGGCTTTATCGTCGTTGATTTCTTCAATAGGAATGATTGTGGTGATCGGCATATCCTTATCTGATAAATTGGGCTCAGTGGATGACTCCGTAGTGGTGGTCTCTTCTTCCAAAGAAGAATCGACAGAGGTTAATATATTCATTAGTGTATCATCGGATTCTTGACTCGTTTTCACTGCTTCTTCCGGTTCTTCCGGTGGTTTTTCCAATGCAATTTGATTGATTGGCGTTGTTGTTATGACATTATCATCTTCAATTTGCATTTCAATTTCGCTCTTATTGGACACGATATTATCTTCCTCCTTAGGAGAAATCGCCTCGGTTGTGGAATGTTCCTGGTCCTTCTCTAAAAGCGTTACTTCGTCAACACTTTCAGTCGTGGTAGTCGTATCGTTGTAATCATCTTCGTATTCGTCGTCTCCCTCCTCAGAAGATGGAGGGAAGAAGAAATTGTCGGTAATAATTATTGGCTCCTCTAACGTATTTTCTTTGGAGATTGTTGAGCTAATTTCCAGCGGCGCTAGATTCGTATTGTCGTGCGGTTTGTTGTCAATGACATTGGGTGTTTCTTCAAGACCAGGCGTCGATACGATATAATCTTCCTCTTTCACAATCTTTTCCTCGTTCTGTTCTTCGCTCGCCACTTCTTCCGAATATTCCTCGTCCGAATATTCGGAGGAAGGCGCGGTGAAGAATCCGGTAGTAATGATAGCGAAAGTTGGCGTCGGTAGTATCGGTCGCACTGCAACCAGTTTCTTCCGGGTGACTCTGACCTTGCTCTTGGATGACGTTGGTAAGATCGGCGTAGGCTGGAGCTTCCTACGCCTGGTGATGGTGACTTTGTGCTTTCCACCAGTGGGCTGGAAGCCTGCCGAGTTTAGATTGTTAATCGGATAGGACGATTTGCTCAATCCCAAACTCCTGACACGCGTCACCACGATTCTCCGCGGTGCATGCGCGGTAGACGTGTATTCGGGACTCTCGGTGCGGGACGTCAAGGGTCTGCGCCTGACGACTGTGAGCTTGTGTTGCCTAGCGCTTCTGCTGCGCACCACGGGTACTCGAATTCTCACGCGTTTCCGTGGCGCCTTTTCCAACGACACCTCGTCGTCTTCTGTGTCGAACCTCCCGACACTTACATCATCCTCGTTCGCGGACCATGCGTCCACGATGTCGTCTCTTTCGCTTTCGGCGTTCGTACTTCCATATTGCACCGATTCGTCGTGGAAATCACCTGCAATGGCGATGTTTCCACTAGTTTGAATATAACATTCAACTGGTGCTTAAATTCACTCCGCAATCTACACCAGAGTCTATATAATTAAGCAGAGTGCAACGATAAAGCCTGTCTCGAGGGGTGGAGTCGTTTTCGTGAAATCGGTCGGAATCGTGTGACGTTGTCGTCTCGTATTATTCGGTTTCGAGTGCTCGATCCGACTGAGAGTTTTTTGTTGCGAATTTTGCGCACGCATGTGTTCGTTTTCTGTTGTGGTGATGTCCCAGCGAGACGGAAGAGAGTACCTTTGTCGTGTGGGCGCGCGTGCGGCGGCGGCGGCGGCGGATTGAGAGAGGTTATGTTAGTAGGAGGAAGTATGGGACGATGCTCGAGAGGGGGAAGCTTTCAGAGGGAAATAGAAAAAACGATTGAAAAAGGTTGGGAGAGAGCGAGCCGAACGAAACGAAATGCGCTGATAGCCAATGTCGTGGAATGGCTCTTGTTTTTCTTTTTCAAACCGAAGCTGCTTCTCACAATCCTTTCCTTGCGCAACTCTCAAGAAAAGGAACTAACACAGAAAAAAATGCTATTGAATTAACAGAATTGATCGATAGCGCCGTAGTTGGAATGTATCTTCTTGATTCAATAGCAATGCTATTAGTAATGTTATTATTAAAACAATATACTATGTATTTGTTTCAATAACTTGAATATTAGTTTTAATAACATTGCTACTGAATTGAGAAGATGTATTCTAAGTATGTTACGCTATTGACCGATTTTATTAATTCAACAGAGTTTTATTCCCGTGTACGATAGTTTTGAAATAGTCTATGTTACATACGTAGCAACTTCGATTTTCATCAACGTTGCTCGTTCGACTCACCATGACGCACCCGAAGAAACTGGACCGAAGCTCTCCGAGTCGAAAGAGACTTGGGAAAGGCCTCGGACTATTTTCAGCGGGTCTGGATGAAATTGTGGATTCATGATGAGGACGAAAAGAAAGAAGGATGCGGGAAGATATGGAAAAGGGTCTTCATGGGCAAGAGGTAGTAGGGTTAGGTATAGATGGACGTGGAAATATGCCGTCCGACGTCACCCACCACGCTCTCGAGACTCTGTGTTGGTGCGTGCGCGTCAATGGGATCTTCACTTCCTGCCAGAATGGCAACTGCCGCTGGCCCGGCGTGCAACGATGGCGGCACGGAAGGTCGGACCTCGACGGCGCCTTCCAGGGCGCTTCTTCGTCTTCTGGACGGGGAATCGCCGACTCTCACGGTGCTCAAGACAGTGCTGAACTCTCCGGGTCTACGACCGGATACGTAGAGCGTCACTACGCTGGACTCCGCCTTAGATGCGGCGGAAGCCTTGGAGTCGTCTCTCCTGTCGTTCGATTTACCGCGTCCACCGCGTGATCTTGATGGCTTCTTATATTCTGCCACTTCTTCATCCTCCTCGGAGTATTCGTAATTATCGTGTCTGTAGTCGGAGTCGGCTGGTTGGTGTCTCCTTTCCACTTCTCCCGGCAGAGTATTGCTCTGCGTGAACGGAGCGGCCGCGAACAAAGGATCCAATAGCGGATTCGAGTTCTGCGGCTGCGGTTGTGGCTGTTGCAGCAGCAACAGTAGGGAATTCAAGTTAGCCGCCGGTATCGCGGCAGTAGGTGTCACCACTACAGTGTCCGTAATGAATTCCGTCGCGGTGACAACGTCGGTCGAGGAGTCGATTAGAGTCGTGAGGATCTCCTTGCCGCGGAAAGTGAGAGGTATGACAGTGCTCTGATGTTTCGTGATAGTAGTGACGTAGGAAGTGGTGCGTGTGTTATATTGTGTGGTGGGTGTAGCCTGAGACTGTAACAGAGGGTTCGGCTGACCTAACTGACCCAAAAGTAACTGCGACAGAAGAATGTTGGCAAGGGGAGCGTTGCCGGACAGGGACGGTTGCACCGTGGAGACTATATTCTCCACGGAGTATACCGTGGTAGGTACAATTACCGACTGGGAGACGCGACGGCCACCAAGGCTCGTGAGGGTGTGCGAAATGCGAGTAGTGGGTGTCTCGTGGAGTAGGAATCGCGTAACCTCGGCTTGCCCTTGGACGTTCGTACCCGTAACTTCGCTAACGATCACCACGAGCGGCCTGCCGTCCCCAGCTATCACTGTGCTGTATTGAGTAGGCCCGAGCACCTCAGTGCTGGGTTGTGCTGTTATGATATTCCGATGCTCTGTGACGCCATTGTTTACCACGGGAATCGTCACTTCCGTCGGTACATAGTGCGTCACGGTTATAGTACCGTCGAAGTTGGGATACACGGTGGGCGCTTCGCGGATGTCCCCGTGGGAACTTCTACCCCTCGTAGGGACTCTTCTGTTTCCATTTCTACCGTTCGTCGATCTTGAGGACGCGCGGGACGGCGATACTCGGCGTGATGGAGGTTCGGTGGGTGATTTGGAGGATCCATTTCGCAGTCTCGGTGGTCTCACTCGTCCATTGTCAGTTTTACTATTAGACCGACTATTTGTCCTCGTACCTGAGGTTGGTCTCTTGTAGCCCGATCTGTTCAATGAAGAATCCTTTTCTCTCAGCGTAAATTGTCTGCCGTTACTTGAGGCCGGCGACGGTTTGATCCTGACAGATCCGTTTCTGTTTCCGTTGGATTGCTTCGACCCGGTCCTGGGCTTACTTTGTTGGCTCAATTCCGTGGTCTCCGCTGACGATTGGTCCGGACTATTGGGTGTCTTTTGAAGCGATCGCGGCGTTGTCAAACTGCGCGCGCGATTGTACCGAGCAATGGGTTTCGACCCCGACTTTGCGTTGTCTTCTTTATTGATCATAACATCCAATGTATCGGATCTATCTTCTGCTTTCGTAGAGGAGGGTTGAGGTCTACGGAAACGACTGTTCAATGCTCTCAGCTGACTAGCCTGACGGCGGACTCTTCTCGTTCTCGTACCAAACGGTCTGATTCGCACGGCAGGTCCGACAGATTTTCCAGAACGACGATTTACATTCGAACTGGATCTTCTGTCCTCGTGCTCTGATCCTTCATAATCATTATCTGATATCTCATCAACAGGCTCGTCTTCGAAACCTTCTTCGTCCTCACTTTCGAGATCCTCGTTTGGGTCGATTGGCTCCTCAGTTGGCAATTCCTGTTTCCTGTTTCCAAGGAATCCACGTGGCGGGAAGAGACCCGTGTTGCTTGGTCTACTTCTCGTGGACACCGGAGGAGTCGCTCTATTGTTCGTTCGTCCATTGGTTACTCTGGGAACTGTCGGCGCGCTTGGTCTATTCAAATTCCCCGATCGTCTCGGAGTTGTGGTCGCCGGTGGTCTTGGAGTAGTTCCGGACCTGCCATTCAAATTGAGGGGCCTGCGGAACCGCAAGAGCGGGTTTGTAGACCTCCTGGACGACTCCGTGGTAGTCTGTAAAGGAGTGGTAACAGTTTCACCGTCGAAGTACTCTGTGAACGGCGTCTCATCAGTGAACAATGTAGTAGTGGTGAACTCATTCGCGTCGTTCTCCTGATCATCGTGTCTGGCGGTGGGTTGTCCCCTCAATAACGTTGACGACGGACGGATACCCGCTCGGTATCTTGAGGAGGCACCGGGGAATACGGAACTCGAAGCTCGACCCGCGACTCTAGCGGAAGATCCTCTAATCGAGGTAGGGCCACGTCTATTGCCTTGAAACACAGACGACGGCGTTATTCTTGGCTGTCCTCTGCCTCGAGTGCTACCTGCCGGGAACGCTGAAGTATAGGAGCTCGAAGTAGTAGCAGTTCCCCGTCTGCCTGCGAACCTTCTGGATCCCGACGGGGATAATGTTGATGAGTAGGGTCCGATGGGCGAAGTGACGCGACCTCGTGACGACGCGAACCTGTTGCCTTTACCGGCCAAAGTAGCAGTAATCGTAGGCGTTATATCTGTTCGGGTGATAGTTGTCGCGGCTTGGGTGCCTTTACGCTTGGGATTGAAGGTCGGTCTATTCCTGGAAGCGAACGGTCTGATCACTGGAGTGAAAGTTCTCTTCCTAGTTGAAAACGTCAAGCGTGACTTCTTCTTTGAACTCTGATCGTCTTCGTCTTCTCCACTCTCTTCGTCGTCTTCCTCGTTCTGACCGGAGTCTTCGTCCTGATCGGGTGATTCAGTTGTAGGATCTTCAGATAATGAAGATTGAATCACTGCGGGAGATGGCGAAATTTCGGGAATACTCGTTGTCGGACTCGGTGGTAAAGTAGAAGTTGGTGTGATACTCGAGGTAGGACTTGGCACTAAGAAGCTAGAGGTGCTCTCAATGATTTGAGCGTACCGTCCTTCGATACTGGTACCGATTACTTTGGATTGATAAAACGTGGTTGTCCCATTGTCCTCGATTTGACCTTGAATGAGACGCACAAGTCCAGTTCGATGGCCCTGGCTGGGTGGAATGGTCGCTTTTCTCTCTTCGTCTATCTTGGTACTCGACGTGCTTTCAATCACCTTAGCGTATAGTCCGTCAAAAAGCGTACCGATCTGCTTGGTCGTGAAGTACACTGTAGTGACTTCGTCGGCATCCACTACGCTACCCTTGTTCAAGGACAAAATGCCCGTGGGGAGAACAGGCGTGGCTATCGACGAAGAGGGCAACGGCGGTGTTTCTATTCTCGTCGAGCTCTCCACCACTTGTGCGTATAGTCCATCAATGTAGGTGCCATACACGTCTGTCGTGTAATGCGTCGTGGTACCTTCGTGCACCGTGCTCGACCGTGTTGTGGAAATTAAGCCCGTTTTCGGCGCCTCGCTTACTTTGGTGGGAGTCACCTTGATCTTCTCGTCGCTACTCAACGTTTGAATCGACGGGTACACGGGTCCACCGATTGCGCGACCGGTTGCCTGTTGAGTCGTGACATCCGGTATCGATACACTGGTCACCGTTTCTAGCCTGCTGTTTAAAATCGTCTCGTTGCCGACATAGGACGTGGTGAAGTAAGTAAATGTGGTGTAGAAAGTCGTCGGTTCAGGTGAGATTAATGAAGTGTTTATCGTGCTGTGCTGGTCGTCCTGGCTGCTGATAATCCCTTTCAACGGAACACTCGTGTCGTCGATGGTAGACTTTTCTGGCACGCCATTACCCACAGGTGTAACCTCATTATCTGCAGTGACTTTGGACTCTTTCCCGTTGCTCGAGGAGTTCTCCTCCAACGGTGGGTTCACAGTCGGTCTGTAAGTCATTACTACGCCGAGTTCTACCGTGGGAGTAGGTGCAACTCCCGGTGTAACGACATTACTAACAGTTTCCTCGCGACTGGTGGTTACAGTATCGCCACCTTTATAGAAAGTCGTCCAATAAGTGAAGGTCGTAAAATACGTGACCGGTTGTGTGCTGGTCGGCTCCGATACAACGAGGGAAGGTCTTATAGTCTCCGTCGCCACATTCGTCACTGTTTCCAGACGACTGGCAACGTTCGTGATATCGCCCTTGTACATGGTTGTGAAGTACGTGAAGGTCGTGTAACTAGTCTGCAGCAACAACGTCGGCGCTGGCTCCACCTCGTGATTGTTAGACTCCGACAATTCCTGGTCTTCGGGAACGGCGTTTCTCTTATCCATTATGTCCAAAACGGTGCCGCCACCGGAACTAGAAGAAGACACTACGTCCGTAATCATAGAGCCGATGACCTCAACATCGGTCGGAGGATTGGGTGTCACCTGCGCGCCCACTTGAAAGTCGCCAAACAGACGCTCAGTAGTGACTCGATCTTCCAAAGTGGTGGGTGTTTCCGTTGTCGTATCGATGTTGCTTTCAACCAATGTTGTAGTTTCATCAGCGCCCGTCGCTTGGTTCTCATTCTGTTGCTGAACTTTCTTCGCTAAGAGAAGTGCCTCTTCCTGCGACTTCTGGCGCTGAAGAGCTTCCAGATAAGCCAAGATCTCCGGTGGCACCGCAGGCTTATTCTCTTCAGGTTTCGGCGTAGTTATTTGAATCGTCTGTTGCGGAGCCGACAAAACAGCGGTAGGCGTAATGGTTTCCGTGACGACGTTGGTGAAAACTTCGGTTCTTGTCTCGATCTCCGTCTCATCGTCCACGAAGATTGTCGTGAAGTAAGTGTACGTTGTGTAATATGTCTTCACTTGCTCCTTCAGCGCCTCTGTTGCTATGACCGGAGTAGGGCTTGGTTCTAGCTCAGTGGTCCATTTATCCGACGTCTCGAAGTCGTCCACGGTTGTGATGGATTCTGTTGGAATATCCTGTTGGACAGTGGTATCCTGTTGGACAGTGGTATCTTGTTGTTGGGGAGTGGTTAGACTTCCTTCCGTCGTCTCATCAAAAACTTGATAAATCGGTTCGGTGCCGCTGTTGTATTCGGGCGTTCGAGCATTCGTCACGGACGGCAGAACGTTCTGCGATATCGTTGTCGGTGATATCGTAACAGACTCGTCCTTCTCGAAGAGACCGGCCACCACGGCAGAAACGCCGTTCGGGCCAACAGTCTGTGTGATTACGTTAGTTTCCACCACTTGCCGACTGGACACGCTCGACGTGTTCTCTTGGAAGAACGTCGTCAGATATGTGTACGTCGTATACAGAGTTTTAAAGATAAGCTCTATTTCCTCGTCTTGTTTTGTAGTTTGTTCTTCTTCATCGAGGAAACTCGGCGTTTGTTGTGTCGTATGCAGCGGTACTGAGGCGGTAGGATTCAGTCTGGTGTCAGTCGGACTTGATTGAATCAATTCTGTTAAGTACGTGACCTCAGAAGAGACCACTTCGCGGGAACGTATGGAAGTCGTAGTGTGATCGTTGTCGTCCGGGATGAAGAAGGTCGTGAAGTACGTGAACGTCTTGTAGGCTGTGGACGGCAGTAATCTGGTGGTCAATGTGGTCTTCTCTTCAGCATTACTTGAACCAAATCCATGTAGCTTGCGTTCATCAGCCTGTAGGTCGTTCTGCGAGTCGTTGCCCTTGATACTGCGACCCTGCGGGTCTCCTGGGACGATGTCGTTGGGAATCTCATCGTCCAAGGTGGGCAATATCGATTCGGTCGTACCTAGCACTCTTCTCGCGCTCTCCAAGATATCCTTGAGAGTGGTCAGTACACTGTCTGTCGTACCTCTCAACGGAGTAGTCAATTCGTTCATTTCCTCTTCGCTGGTCGTGATCGCACCTGGTGTGGTAGCAGACATCTCAACGGTAGTGCCTTGCTCAGGCTCGTCGGGGTCCGTCTCGATCGAGCCGTATTCCATTGTAGTGTCGTCAGGCTCGTACGTCGCAGTTGCTTCGTCGGGGAAGAAATACACGTTCGAGGACGTGTCGGTGACTTCGGCATAGTGTTTACCAATGTACGTTCCGTAAATGAGACTCTTGTAGTGCGTCGTGGTGCCGTCTAAGGAAGTAGTGGAGTCCACGACCTTCAGGAGTCCCGTCGGCTTCAACGAGCCGGTCTCCACGTCGGGTAGTGGTTCCGTGGACAACGTCGACGACTCAGCCTCGATATCCTCGGTCAGGCTGGGTTGGATGTTGCCGCGATTGATGGCGCTCAAAAGCCGGTCGTCTGAAGCGTGATTCACATCGCCTTCATACGGCTGATTGGTTTTCGCGTATTCCAATACCGTCGTAGGTCGAATCTTCATCATTGCCGCGCCATCGATCGGTCGCAACGTGGCATCGCCTCTAATCGTGGTAGCAGGACGTACCACGGGCGCCGGCGACGTGCTCGGTGAGAAGATGATGACGGTGTCGCCGACCGTGGTGGTGAAATCCGCGAAGCCGTGGTACGTTACCGTAGCAAGCGGCTTCACGTCTGGTCTCCTCTGCGGCGAGGTCTTCGGCTGAGACTTGAAGATTTTCGGCAGCCGCGGTCGGAAGCTCTTCGGCTGCACATCGTCGAAGGAGTCGAAGCTGCTAGACACGTACTCATGTTTAATCGTATAGGTGGGCAGATTGTCGGTCGGTCGGACCTTCGCCGGCTTGAATCTGTCAGCTACACTCAGCTCCCTCTTACTGAATATGTCGTTCTCGCGAGACAGTTCGTCCAGCTTCGAGGCATTGCCGGTTGCTTTCTGCTTCACGGAGTCGCTCGAGTCCGTGTCGCTGTCACCGCCGAGAGCTTCTATTTCTTCGATCGCCCTGATCGGCGTGTTATCGAGAGCTACTCGAAGCCGCCAGTCATCTTCCGGTGCCCTCGAGGGATAAACGACGTACGGACTCGATGGGTCTGGCGCCGGCTCCTTGTCATAGAACACTCTGCTGGACGTGGATAAGATTCGCGCGTAAAGGCGCCCGTTGTCGAGAGTCGTGCCAAGGACCTGAGTGGCGAACTCGGTACTTGCACCATCCTGCACGAATGTGCGCGCCGTTTTGGTCAGGACTCCAACAGGAGGCGCGGACTTGCCGGGACGTGCCGAGACCAGGAGGACTGTGGTTACTCCTGAAGGGTGATATATTCGAGATCGAAAGTATGCCGGGGAAGTGACGCAAGGGAATACGTAAATCGGCGCGGGAAGCGCGACGTTTGGGCGATTTTTGCGTCGTCGGGGATGAAAACGAGGGGATGCGAGACGGAATGAGACGCGAAATCATCGAAAATGCGACTCGGATAATGCGAAATCGTTCGGAAGCAAGAAGCGCACACGCACACGACGGCGATTTCGAGCGGTTCAGCCACGGTATTCGCGTTTTCGTGAGTCCGTCGGGGTGTTTGTTTACGTTTGTAATTGAGTCACACGTGCGTCGTCGTACGAATCGCGCGTCATATGTTGTTATTTTTTTATTATAATATGTAGGTCGTCGGAGAGACAGAGTGGCGGACGGACGTTGGAGGCAGACGGCATCCAGTTGTTGAGAAGAGTTGAAGGCGGGGAGCAGACGGGAGCAGTAACAGAAACAGAAAAAAGAGATAGACGATCTTAATAGACGAGCCTTCTTCTTTCGTAGCCTAGGACATCCGCTGTAACGCTATTCGCGATAGCCTGCTTAATTAGCGTAATTATCATACTTCGTTATCTCCGCTCGTGTTTGCTTTCTCTTTCTATTTTGGAGAAAAAAGTTCTTCACTGGACACAGAGAGTGAGAGAAACTAGCATGCATGCGTAAGGGAAGAGACAGAGAGAAAGAATTTAGCCATTAGTTGCTTATGTACAGTCCCTGGATCCAGAAAATTCTCAGATCGCCGAGCGATTGCTTGTCTTAAAAAAGTTACTTCTTAAAGAAAGAATCGTTATTTCTTTAAAAAAAAAAATTATTTTTTATAACACGTTTTTTCGGAAATTAGAAGAATATTTCTTAAATCCTCCTTTAAGATTTAACGGTAAAGTGGCCCGAATAAGTTTACCGCGCGACGCGGTGAATTTTCATATCCTGGGGAAGAACACTTCGCAAATTGAATCGTGCGATAGATCTCGAAGCCAGACACCACGGAAATGAGATGACATGCATACATTACAGTCGACTCGGCGACAGGAAAATAATTGCCGTTTGAGAAGAAAGTTTATTTACACGGCCGCACTTCGCGTCAACACGCACGTGGATGTTTGAGACGCGAAATGAGATACATCGTGAGAAAAGATGAATCAGAGAGCGAAGACAAAGGACAAAGCGGAAAAAAACTGTTTGATATATCGCAGGACTGCACTCAAATCCCGCGACAGAGAGCATCTGTGTAAAATCCAAAGAGAAGAGGAAACCCTCTCGTCGCAAACGCCCAACAATCAAAACATAACGCTTAGATAAAAGAAATTTATAAATCTTGAGTACAGTCCTCGTATGCGTGTATCAGTGTGATTCAGGTGTCGCGCATGTGTCGCGACTGTAGTATACAATTTGTTAGACACGTTGCAGGAACATTCACAAGGACTTACCCTGCAGGTCCCTCTCTATCCTCGGCGCTCTAATGTTTTTGTTCGATAAAGCTCCATCTGCAAAAGGAGAAAGAAAGATATCCATTTAACGCGAGTATATATTTTCCTCTGTATATAAATTTAGATATTTCCTCAGATGCACCATGAATTCTGACTAGAATACTTGAATTTTTCCAAAAATTGGTTATCTCACTACAATTTCGATTGAAAATTTCACTCTTGTCCTAAATATGGGTTTTCTGTTTAGGATAAAGATCTCTATTGTTTAAAATAAAAATAAAAATTTGCGAACATTTTTTCAGTCAAAGTGAAGTACACTATACAATTGGTATACTTTTATGGTAACAAACGGAGAATTTCATTTTCATAGTAAATATTATGTTCAATAAAATAGAAAATTAAAAAAAATTTTCAAATACTAAATGTATTGTAATAAATAATGAAATTATTTAGAAAATCCGCACATATGTTTCCTTCAATTCTATTGCAAAAATAAAAACTAGAAAGAATGTTGGGAAAACTTCGAATTTTCCCACTTAGAAACTCCTTTGAAACCCTCTCGTTTGAAACCCTTAAACATCGATGACTCCATATAATTTTTTAAATATTTTCAATGCAATTCATTAAAACTTTGCGACATGTTTGCGTCAAAGTCAGATACTATACAGAAAAATATTTTTATACGAATAAAAGAATTTGTTCTCCTACTATTTATTTGTCTTAGTGCGAATTTTAACGCATATAATTTTAAATGCAGAAGAAAATATTTAAAAAATATTAGGATCATATATGATCTTGACTTGTTTTTGTCCCATAATTTTACCTTATTGTTTAAAGGTTAAATTTTTAATCAGAACCTGTAATTAGTTTGCAGAATCGGATTGGATGCCAGCAAGATTCCAAGAAATTGCCCATGCAGGTTAATCGATACGCTTGATTTGCATGTGCGTGCAACTTCGTCATCGCGCAAGGTCGCCTTGCGGCGCGTTCGACAGAGGAAACGGTGGGTGGTGAAAGGGAATGATTGAAGGATGTTTATGACGGAAAGAGCTTCATTTGGTCATCGTCGCGGCTCTTCGCGAAATAATTGCCATGCGTCATACATTCCCGTCGACTCCTGGCGCTCGCGAATGGTATTTATACATCGTAGTGCTTTTTCTTTCAGCGTCAAAACGATCGTAATCGACACTTCGAGCGAACGGGCTTAATTGCCCGCGATTCACGAAGGCGAAGTGAAGAAACGGACGAAAAAACGGCGCAGCCCAGACACGCGCGCGTCTAGGAATGAGGCTTGTCTGTGTGAGAATAGATGAGCAAAGGACGCCAGACGACGTCGGCGACACCGAAGACGTCGTCTCCGGAGAGGCCGCGACGTACAGTTATCTGACCGACTCCTCTCGTCTCCCGGAGAAAATATCCGTCGTCGTTATCCTCCTCGTGAGGTGCTGTTGTGTGCACGTGAGAGGGCGTCCATGTGTACACTCGTGTGCGCGCACACGTGACGATGCTTGCGCGAGTGCGATGATATATCGCGACGGGCAATTTCGCGTGCGTTTCCATCAGCGTGCGGTGGCATTAATCGGCACGGGAAAAGAACTGCCTGTTGAGATTCAATTGACGCGCAGCGTCTCGATAAATTTCTCTTGACGGACGTCCCTTGCGTCCTTCATGTCGGCTTTCCGTCCAGCAGTACTTTGCATTCTCTAAAGTACAATCAGTGTGTTCTTTATTGAAATATTGTATTTGTAATTGAAGGCCACAATTTTTTTTAGTTAAAGTATAGCACTGCAATCGGTAAAATCTCGCTGAAAGGATTAATTAATAGTAGCGACTGTTCTCATTATATCAGTCTGCACAATTTTCTATCTTGCTATTAAATACGTTTAACAATATTTTGATATAAAAAATGTAAAAAGAATTCATTATGAAATATTTAACGTCTTATTTTCGAAATAATATTTTTTTAAACCGCGACAACTTGAGAATTATTTATTCGATTAACTTGATGTTTGACATAAATGTTTATCCTAATTGTCTATATCAGTTTATGAAGACATACTTTTCATTTCAAAACTATTTTTCATTTATTGATTTTACAAATCTAAATTTTCTAGTGAAAAGATTAAATCTAATTTTTTATAATTCTTATTTTGCAAAATGCTTTTCTCAAAATCTGCTCCGTGAATCGATAACTATAAATAGTGAATAAAAAAATATATTGATACTGATTTCAGACCAAAATGTTGAAGCATGATGTTTTTTCGCAGAACAGAATTGGAATAATGTTAATATTCACCATAAAAAATCTTATTTTTTCACTGAGATATTATTAAATGTACTTAATATACATATATAATAAAAAAAGTATATTCCTATTAATTTACAACTTTCTGCAACTCCTCAAATTTTACTTAATTTTTACTCAAAGTTTTGTAATCTCTTAAGCAATATGTTTATAAAAATTCATAACGATTTTTCTCTTTCTACGTGATTTTTCCCCAATTAGGCATAATATATGATAAAAACTAATACTTAAATATTATAATACTTTTTAAATTTTCAACAGACACATACTACAAGCGACATACAGCAAGAAATTACAAACCTCTATATTTTAAGTCAAGTAAGCCATGTTTGTATACATAACGAAAATCAATTTTCTTGAAACGTAAAAATCACATTTCTGAGTGATTAAAAAATGTATCTGCATCTTTTAATATATTATAAAAAATATTATATAGATCACATAATTTGAGTCATATGTGACAAAATATTTTCTTTTGTAGACTAGTATATTTTAGGCAAAATATTCCTTTTACTGATTCAGTCAGAAACATTTTTACTGATTCACTTAAGAAAAAAACACTTTGATCAATCGACTAGATTCGCGTGATCTAATTATGTGATCTATATAATATTTTTTATAATATATTAAAAGATGCAGATACATTTTTTAATCACTCAGAAATGTGATTTTTACGTTTCAAGAAAATTGATTTTCGTTATGTATACAAACATGGCTTACTTGACTTATTTATCAATATTCTTTGTAGTCTTCTACTTTATCAAAATTCGCCGAAACTTTTGGGACATTGTCTTGTTTTCATTGGCGTCCGTTCTATTCCTTTCGACGCGATCGAGCGACGACGTTGAACTCTCACGGCCTGACCGGAGCAGGTGACATCCGGTTGCCCGACGACTGGCATTTCTCGGTACGACGGCAATCGGGACCGACGACGGTGTCCGTGTACTTCGAGGTCATCCTCGTCTGGACACATTGGGTCAGCTGGTCGACTTCGTGTCGCCCTTCTTTCTTGCGTCTGGCCTGCGGCCAAGCGGGCCGTTTCGCGGCCCCTGACAAACCGGTCGCGTCCACGTTACCCAACAATCGATAAGGATCGTTCGACCCGTCGACACACGTGGGAGAAGATCCGTGTTTGGCGTCGCGTACACTCGATATTTCAATCGCAACACCAGTCGCGCTCGCCGATCCCGCCCGCGTCGCTTATTACGCCAATCCGCTGGCAATACTTATGCGTATTGACGCGTGTAACGCCTCAAATGCAAAACTAGTTTCTGGCAAGTAGAACAAAACTGATTCGTATCAACGTGCCGTTCGCTCAGGACAAAATGTTGTAGATGAGCGTTGAGCAAACTCGCAGAAATGCTCCAGAAGCCGCCGGTGTGACGCGTCAATGACGAAGCATTTCGTGCCGCTTTCGAATTGCATAATTCACGTACAATTCCCTGCGATATCACGCGGTTTCCTAGTGGGAATTTGTCAAGATTTTCTCAGGTACAACATATATTCCGATTAGAATGTTTAAATTTGTTTTAAAAATCAGTTATTCTACTACAGCAGCATTTGGTAATCCTATTTTTGTCCCAACATAGATATTCTATCTAAAATTGAGATATATCGGAATTCGTTGTATTTCAATCCGTTTATTTTTATAGTATCAAACAATGGAGTCCCATTTTCATACTAGCCAAATGTATTCAATAGAATGCCAATGTTATATCAATTGTTTGTATTTAATAGAATAAAAAATTCTTTTAAAATATTCTAAATATTTTACTAAATAGTAAAATAATTTAGAAAGTGTCAATACGTGTTTTGTTTAAATTCTAATGTAAAATAAAGACTAAAAAAATATTTCTGGAGGGAAACACGTTAAGTTTCCTAGTTACATTAAATATCTTGATTGAAATCTCACTTAAAACAAGTGAAAAGTGGTAATATTTTCGCTTGAAGCGATAGTGGAGATACTCGAAATCGCAAGAGTAAATATTCCACTCAAGCTTGGGTTTTGACTTTATATGAAAGAATATTTCATCCAATTAGAGTGAATATGTTCCTGTGACAGTAGAGTGCATTAGAGATTCACTCTTCAATTTCCAATAAAAATATTCATTCGACGATTCAGAGCGGGGAATGCACTCTAAATGAATAAAACGTTGTTTGAATTTGAATGACTCAGCTGTCACTTTTTGAGTGGAATTTAATTCAAAACGCATTTTTTATTCATAAAAATAAATATTCTAATTGATCAGAATGAACTTTGTTCCAATGAATACACGCTTTGTTCCAATGGAGCACGCTTGAAATTCACTCGTCAGTCTCGAAAATCGTCAGTGAAAATATTCACTCGGCAATTCACAACGGAGAATTCACTTTATATGAATAAAAAATCATTTGAATTCCAATGACTCGATAGTCACTCTCGATTTCAAGTCGTCCCAAGAAATTTAGAAAACAAAATCGCACGTTTGAAACATTACATTTCTAACCAGAGAATCCACAATTATACTTCAAGAAATTTCCTATACAGACCCAACTTTTTTCTTCTGACTGCGTATCCCAGATATCACAGATGCGACATTCCAGATAGCACACAGAATTCAAAAAGAATTCAGACGTCACCAATTCTGAGTTCATTTTGAGATGCAAAAAGAATTCTTCAGAGTTCAGTTCAGTGAAAAGAATTCTTTTCGCACCTAAAAATGAACTCAGAATTGGTGACATACGATTGAATTCTTTTTGAATTCTCTGTGCT